CAAGTAGAAACAGCTGTTTGCATTTGTGAACTGGAACAAAAGAATTACCATTCTAATGTGGAATGTGTTGGCAAACTCAAGGGCTAGTATAGTCAGATTTTTTTTTTTTTAATGCAGAAGGAATCCTTATTTACTGTAAATACAATTTTTCGGAATATAGTAACAAAAACTGTAAGAAGAGAAATGGGACAAAAGTTGTGGCCAGTGGCAGGATTAGTGGGTAACAGTATAGGCTCTGGAGCCAGAGTGCTGGGCTCAAATCCTGGCTCTGCCACTTTCTAGCCGTGTGATATTGGGCAAGTTACTTTTCTGTGCCTCAATTTCCTCTTCCTTTGGAGAAGGAGGATAATGACAGTAATTACCAGCCACCGAGTATGTCCTATGGATCTAATGAGTTAATATACGTAAGGAACAACACGTGCATCAGGGAGTGCTCGTGAATGCTTACTACTATCTTCTGGTTTTTACCTAGGAAATTCTGAGCATATAAAACTGACAAGCTCACACTCAAGGCAAACGTTTCTGAGGTTAAGGAAGAAGGGAGAAAGAATGACATTCAACTCAGCAAAAAGTGGGACTCACAGCACCTTTATTTACCACCAAAGCAACATGAATTTTGTAATTAAACTTGTGGCTTAGATGGTCTAAAATAATTCTAGGCAAAGAACATTGCTTGTAGTCAGAAATTATGCTTCTGCAAAGACTTGGAAGATCTTGGGTTATTTTAATATTTTGGTTGAGAAACTGGTGTAGCAATCAAAGTTTAATATAATGGATTTACTAAAATGGAGCCATTGAAAGATTTTTAAATACTCATTTTGACCCACAATGGGCTGAGGTAAAATCCCACCAAAGGATCAGAAGCACATAACAAAAGGTTCTGACAGGAGTGTATGAGCCACAATGAAATACTATAAATAAATACTATAAATACTGGCTGGGCTGACAGGCTGCTAACAATATTCTTAACTCATTAGTATTTACCTGGACAACCCAACTCTGACACCAACAACTGCGAGACCATTTTTAGCAAAAAATTAACTGAGACCAGTTTTTAGTTAGGCAGCAGTTTTGTTGAAATTCAGTTTCCAACAAACAGCTTGAAAGTTACAGGTGGCTCAGCTGCTACACAAAAAGGAAAAATAACTCAAATAAACAGTTCAGAAAGGGTGATGCTCAAGGAAATGCCGGGACAGAGTCTGTGGCTGTTGCTTCATGGATACTGAGTTTCTGTCTGGGGTGTTGAAAGAGTTTTGGAAGTAGTGGATGGTGGTGATGGTTGCATAATATGGTGAACTTAATTAATACCACTGAATTGTACACTTTAAAATGGTTAAAATGGCATATTTTGTGTTAAATATATCTTACCACAATTAAAACAACCAACAACAAAAAAGAATTGTGGCATCTTGCAACACCGGGCTTCCATAAGACAATCTCTGTTGTTCATCATTTGGGCTAACAGAGACTTTTTTTTTTTTTGCCCAATGTGAAATTCTCCATGTATCTCCTGTAAAGAGCTGTAAAACACAGCAAGGAAGTTACCTTCTAATTTCTGTTTTTTGGTTTCTGGGGAAGCTTTCTGGTTGGCCATTTCTTTCTTCCGTTTATCAGCTGTTTTTCTGACAGGCTCTAAGGGGAAAAGCCAGGAGGGTCTATTTGTAATCACCTGATGGAGCCACTACCGAGCACACCAGGAGCTTTTATGCCACTTGCAAATACCACACATAAGCTCTGCCTGTTCTGCACCAGACACGAGCTAGGTCTGGTCAGAGTACTTTGAAGAGCATCTGTAACTTTATTAGCAAGTTCTTCAAATTCATAAAAGAAATCCGACAGTCTCTGCCCAAAGGCTTCTCTCACAACTAGCATCCCTTGCTGCTAGTCACCACTTCACGGGGCTGATTGAGACCATCCTAACCTTCCCCCTCAGCCTCTTCCTCTCGGCCTCGGTCGTCCTCAGCACCATCGCTGTCTGGTCCCTCTTCCTCAGTCCACACAGGAAGGGCTTTCCTGCCTTTGGCCCGTGTAGAATACAGAGCTTTTTTTCCCACATCTAGATGAGAATCCACCCAGTCAAATACCGCCACACAGACATGCTGAGAACGCGAACGGCAAGTGGTTCTTTTAGAAAAACTGCTCACAGATCTGTCTATACACAAAACAAACAATGAACAAAAATCACTGCCATTTTAACTTTTTATTTTCAAGTAATTTCAAATGTATTGATGTATTTTTAAAACGACAGTAAGAATTACTGCTGCTTTGGAAGCAACAGCATTTAAAATGTTACACACACGCAAGGCCCTTGGGTGATGGAAACCGTTGGCGCTCAACCGCTAACCTAAAGGTTGACAGTCTGAACCCACCCAGCGGTACTGTGGAAGAAAAGGCCTGGCGATCTGCTTCCGTTAAGATAACAGCCAAGAAAACCCTATGGAGCAGTTCTATCCTGTCACGCATACGGTCGCCATGAGTCGGAATCAACTCAACGGCAACTCACAACAACAACAGAAATACACAGACGCACATGTATCTTGACTCCATCAAAACCAAAAAAACAAGTCACTGAGGATTAAGTCTGTGGGAAGACTCACCTACTGGCTCATAAGCACAAAGACAGAAATAACCAGCGTATAATCCTATTGTGCTAGAGGTCCCACCTGCACTGAGACTCTGCAGCAATGAAGCCTGACTGAAGTAGCAGCCAGGGATTGCCAAGGCAGCTTTCAGAGGGTGGTTTTTCACGGAACCCCCAAAAGGCAATGTGGAGTGGCAGGCAGGATGTCCTCTTGACATCATATAGCCACAAGCCAGGAACCACCCAGAAGAGGATTCTTTACCTTCCTCATTCTGGTCCAACTCACCGTCCTGATCTTCCTCCTCCTCATAGCTCTCCCGTCTGCTCTCACGGTCCTCTGGTGTGGCACACCTGTCCTTTGCACGCTTGGCCCATGTGGCTCTCTTCCTGCTTGGTGACACTAATTTCTCAGCAAACGTGGGAGCCAGAGACTTTTTCCTCTCTACCTTCTTTTCTGGGGGAGTGGCAACCTTCCTGCCCTTCTTCGGAGGGATGACAATCTGTAGGAGAAACGTCAACAATGAAAAGACATTGCCTCTCTCTCCACCCGTGTACTGTCTCATGGTACAGTCAGTACGTACACGATTTTGGTCAGGCAAGTCTGTCGACACACATGTTGATCTCCCTAGGAGGAGTTTCTCAACGCGTAGTCATGGCATGCTTGTTTAAAGACAAAAAGAAAAAAGAAGAAAACTGCAGGACCTTACCCAGAGCTATCAAATCAGAATATTTGCAGGGACCGATCTAGGTTTCTAGAAGTGTGAGAGCCACCGCCCTTGGGAAGCATACAAGTCAATTACTGCTCACGTGGCTCCACAGGCCTGCAGGGTCCCACCTCTTTGCAAATTAATGCTAAAGTAGGGGCCCCCACAGAGGCGACTAGGATATACAGAATTAGAGCCAAGCCCCAGTGACTGGAACTCATGCTTTCTAATGACATCATCAATTCCTGTCCCATCGCTAATAGCCCCTTCCTTCCCTGATGCTCCTTTGTTGGGTATGGTATTCTAAAATTAAATGACAAAAAACATACAGCAGAGACTCAATCTGGGTAGGAAATAGTGAGGGTAACATGCGTCTGATCCAGATCCCTGGCAAAATTTTAAAACCAATTACATGGTTTATGACAACTACTTATTTAATAAATATGAAAGATGCATTTATTAGGACCACATCATTATAAATTAATACTAATTATTCCTTTTTGTATGTGAAGGAAGTGTGAAGACGAAAAATTTAGCAGACATTGGATGAAGTCTCATCCTACACAAATGGACAAGATGGAGAAATAAGGGCAGAGAAATAGAGCAACTGTCTCTACATTGCCAGTGTTGACTTTCGATTAATTAAAACAACTGCTAGAATGAACAGGGTTGAAGAAAATTTCTATTATAGAACTAACTGTTCAAAGAGGACATAAAATAAATGCTATCTGCCTCTCACAACAAAGTTGCTTGGCTGGAAGATTGAGAAATGAAGTGGGAAAGAGTAGGGGCTTTGAATTCAACAGACCTACTTTGTCCTGTAGGGTCGCTACGAGTCGGAATTGATCCGACGGCGACGGGTTTGGTCTTTTTTGGTTTTATGTATAATTCTCAGCTTTGTCACTTATTAGTTGTAGAGCATAAGCAAGTTAGTTAATGGCTCAATCTGTTTTCCCATCTATCAAATGGAGCTAATGATGCCTACCTCACAGGGTCACTGTGAGAATTCCAGGAGATGATGCATAAACCCTAGCACACTGGCTGCACACCTGAAGCATTCAATATTCAGTAGTTGTGTACCTACTCATTCTTGCCTCCTCTATTCTTTTGGGACTCTCTTAACTTACACTTGTCTATATTCAAATACAAGGATCCCTAATGGCGCAATGGTTAAGATCTTGGCTGCAAACCAAAAGGTCGGTGGTTGGAACCCACCAGCTGCTCTGTGGTAAAAGACTACAGCCTGGAAAACGCTATGAGGCAGTTCTACTCTGTCCTATATTGACTCGACAGCACACAACAACACATTCAAATACCAATGCGGAAGCTCCTAGCCAGAAGTGGAACATAGTAGGGATTTAAATATTTGTCGAAAGAATAAGTATCGAAATGTATATATGGCAGGCACACAAACTAATGGATTATAATGAAGCAATTTTAAGGTATCAAGAGATTTTCTTTCAAACTACTATTTACAGACAATCAATAACACCTTTCAAACATTAAACACCTTTATATTCTCAAAACAAACCACTCCTGGTCACAGTGCATTATGGTGCATTACTCTGTCCGTAACACTAAATTCAATTTGCTAATATTGTTTGGGATTTTCACATCTGTGTTCATGAGAGAGAAAAATTCAAAACTAAACAAAACCAGTTGCCCTCAAGTTGATTTTAACTCGTGGCGACCCCACATGTATCAGAGTAGAACTCCATGTAAGGTTTTCAATAGCTGTGACCTTTCGTAAGGAGATCACCAGGTCTTTTTTCAAAGGTGCCTCGAGATGAATTCAAACCACTAACCTTTCTGTTAGTAAAGGAGCCTTAACTGTTTACTTAATTGTTTATGTCACCCAGGGGCTCAAGAGAGAAACTGGTCTGTAATTTTCTTGTCAAATTTTGGTATCAAGTTTAAGATGGGCCTAAGAAGTAGGTGGCACCCGGCTATCACTACTGACCATTCTGATCCGGGTCACAATAAATGGATCCTGATAAAATGGGAAAAAAATGTGGGATGGAACCTCAAATTCTTAAAAAATCCACACTTACTGGACCAGTGGAGACTGAAGGACTCCCCGAGACTTACTGTCCTGAGGTACTCTTTAAATCTTGAACTGAAACTAGTTCCTAAGGTCACTTTTTAGCTACGTAACAGATGCTCCTTTAAAAAATCACCTACATGTGACCAAACAGTCAATAATTACTTTAAAACAAAGACAAGAAGGTGAGGGGGCAGGGAAACTAGATCCATGGAAACATAACAACCAAAACAGAAATAATGAGAATGTTTATGCATTGTGAAGAACGTAACCAATGTCGCTGAACAATCTGTGTAGAAACTGTTGAATGGGAACCTAAACTGCTGTGTAAACCTTCACTGAAAACACAATAAAAGTATTATTTAAAAGCAAAAGTTTAAGGTAGGCTCATAAAACTAGTTGGAATGTGTCCCTAGTACCATTTTTAGATTAAACAATGGAATTTAACTGCTTTACTCTGGATTCTGATTGCTGACATTATTAAAAGTCACTCTAGGGGATCAAAGTGACAACAGCAACTCGAAAGATGAGATAGGAATCAAAGGGGGCAGTGAGTTTATGTTAACCGCAGAGGAACAACTCAGAAAAGGAGGGTAAGAATGGTTGCCCAACTCCAAGAAGGTAATCAGTGTCACTGAATTGTACATGTAGAAATGGTTGAACTGGCATATGTTTTGCTGTGTATATCAACAACAACAAAATATTAAAAAAATCCTATTCTGTGCAGAGTAAATTGAGCAGTCTGAAGGCACTTTAGCTCCTAGTTGACAAATTCCAGCAATGTTAATGATGTCTGGATTATTTTGGGCATATCTTGCTGTCATCTCTAGCAAGGGTCTTGAAGAAGAAAGAGGAGTGGGGGAGAGGAAAGTATGTGACAAGATGAAGAAAATCAAATTATTAAAGTTTGGCAAAAAAAAAAAAAAAAAGTCACTCTGCTCCAGTTGAGTAATTACCTCGTCTCTACTGCCATTGTCTTTATCTTCTGACATCCCATCTTCCCCATCTTCTATCTCCTTTGGGGAAAGACTCATTTTCTCCAATTAACTTTGGTTTTTTTCCTGCTTAAAATGGACAAGATTATTAGGCACATCACAAGGCCTTCGACCTTACATGCCATAAGCCGTTTGCATCTGTAATAAATTCATTCCAGGCCTCATTCTAATTTTTCTTTTTTTTTTCATTTAGAATATTTTAATCACACCAGCGAGTATCAAGATAATTTTCGGCGTATGTTGTAGGTCAGGTCTCCCATACCTTTCTTTTGCCAGGATCTAAAAACAGAAACTCTTCAGGATAAAAAAGTGAACTTCCAGAATTCCTCTTTTTCTCTCATTCTTTTCCCTTCATCACGCATTTTCAAATAATTTAGTTTTTCGTTTTTTTTTTTTTTTTTTTTTTAAGGCTAATTCCACTACCGAGTACTCAAGTGGAAGCGCACACGGCCAAAATGAAGTCCCCAAATGGGAACGATACCAACTCAAGTGCTTTCACCGCTCCCGACTGAGAATCACTGTAAACTAAGGCAGCTTCCATCACTGCTCCCATCAAAGTTATAATACTACAAATAAGGGGTCTCAAGCCAGAACCTATAGCCACCACTCCCCAAGCAACCCAGAGTCTTGTCCCTAATGGGCTATCCTCCCTCAGGGCTGTTGCTGGTGCAGGGCCCCGCCCTCCCAGAGGCGGGCAAGGGTCTGAGGCTGCGCTCTGCAGGCCACCTCACATGACAGACCCAGGCAGGTCGCCTCCAGGAGCCCAAAGCGCCTCGCAAATGCCAAAAGGTCACGGGCGCGCTCCCACCAGCAACCCTAGGATGCAGGACCGGGCGGAAGATGGCCCGGAAGGTGAGGGACCCTCGTGACTCGGTCTCGACCAACCAGAGCCCGCGTCGTTCCTGGACCAATCGCGAGCCGTCAACCCCTGGGAAGTGTGGGCGTGCGAGCCTGGGGGCGTGGTATCGAGCTGTAGCCGCACGGGCGCGCAGGCGTATTAGGAGGACTTTCTCGCTCTGGTGGCGCTGGAGCGGCGGTTTGGTTTGGTCTGTCCTGTGCTGCGTGCGGTGTGTGGTGTTTGCGTCAGATCTGCCCGGGAGGAGATGCAGGCCCCGCTAGATTCGGGTATCTGGCAGGCGGTCACACGGCCTGATGCTTCGCTGCGGGTGGGTCTGCAGAAGTGTAAACAGCGGTCATAATAAGAGCCATTTTATTGAGAGTTCATGTTCCCGGGTCGGTACCAGGTGCTTACTTTGCCAACCTGCGTAGGTCGCAGACCGACTCTGTGTTGGTGTCATCCCCATTTTCAGCCAAAGCAGAGGCACAGAGGTCACCGCCTGCGGTTCACAAGAACCACGCGAGGTGGAGCGGAGACTCGAACCTGGTTTATTTTCAGAGCCTGCCCCTGGACCGCGGTGCCGCCCACTCGCCCGCCCCCGCACCTGAAGCTACTGTTAAAGCAGTAATGGTCGTAGCGAAGTTTGTGCCAGGCAGTGTACCGGTTGCTTTTTTACACATTATACAGGGACTTTGCACAACAAACCTGTGACTTAAATGTGTTCGTTCCATTTTACATTTTTAAGGAAATTGCTCTAGGCTATTGTTTTACATCCTCAATTACAATTCTGTCTTCTAGTTCCTTGAATTAAACCATCTATTAACGTATGTGCTTTCAAGGGCCATTAGCACCAGTAGGCACTGGTCCAAAACCCCACTGCCTAAGTGGATTCCGACTCAGTGACCCTATGGGACAGAGTAGAACTGCTGCTTTGGGTTTGCAAGGCTGTGAGCTTTACAGAAGCACAGTGCCACATCTTTTCTCCCTCTGAGGCGCTGGTGGGTTTGAGCACTTGAACCACTTTGCCACCAGGGCTTCTCTGTAGGCATGGTAGCAGGATCAAAATCCTGGGTGTTATCTCCATGGCACTTTGGAATATACATATGTTTTGAGAGTGAGGAGGGGTGGTCATGAATAAGGCGCCATGCCCTGGCCCTAGCTTCAGAAAGGCCTAAATTGGGAAGGAGAATAGAACGATTTGTCTTCATATTTAGATCTGGTACATCACTAGACGATTTTACCTCACATGCTTTACAAGATGTCTTAGTTTCCTAGTGCTACTTTAACACAGATACCACAAGAGGGTGGCTTTAAAGAACAGAAATTGTCTCATAGTTCTGGAAGCTAGGAGTAGGAATTCAGGGTGGGACTGTAAGGAGAGATCCGTCTTTGCTTACTTCAACTTCTAGTAGCTGGCGATCCTTGGAGTTCCTGGGCGTGTAGATTCAGCTTCCTCCCTCGAAGTAGTGTGTAAGCAGTCTGACTAGAGTCTGCATGCTTTTGTGTTTCATCTGCTCTTTTTATAACTCAGGAGTTAATTTTAGGACATACTCTACCGGCATATGGCCTCATTAACATAACAAAGAAAACACTGTTTCCAAACAGGATTACATCAACAGATAGAGGTTAGGATTCCAACACGTATTCTGGGGGACAAAATTCAATCCATAAGACTAGGTCAAATGCATTAAGAAAACTGATCAAGGACAACTCAAGAAATGAAAACAGAAACTCATTTCACTCATGAACAAAAATGCAAGATTTAAATAAAATATTAGCAAATCAAATCAAACAGTGTAGTGAAAGAATATTGACCAGGTTGGATTTATCCCTGGAATGCAAGGATGCTTCAAGGGAAGGAAACAGGTCAGTTAAACTGACTAATGGAGGAAAAAAGCATATCGTTTTAGATAGAGAACTTTAACGATAAAGCTTACCTATGAAAATGTAAAATAAACATTTGATGACAAAAATTAAGAGGCATTCTTATTAAAATCAGGAGCAAGAACTTGGGATATGGATGTCATTCTTAAGACGCAACAAGCAAAGTTCATAAATTGTGACAGATTTGATCACATTATAATTTAAAACTTGAGGATACAAGCGTATAAACAAATTTAAAATATAAGGAACAAATTGGAAGGGAATATTCGCAACATAGATAATAAAAAATTAGTGTCAGAATATAAATTACAAAAAAAGATAACCAAACAAAAATGGACAAAGGATATGAAAAGCAATTTTCAGAAGAAATGTCAG